AGAAAGCCTCATCTTTCTCCTGCAGAACAGCTGGTAGTTTCGAACTGCTGACCTAGCAGTTCGCAGCCCAATTCGGAACCACTACGCTACCAGAGCGCCTTATGTGACATAGTAGAAGAGCATAACAGAAAAATCGACATCAGTATTTGCTGTTAGCAATTCTTATTGCCCAACATCACAGCATAACAACTAGTGTGTTCACAGATTCACACTGTGCTGTGCTAAAGAAATATTACATATTGTTCCCTTGACTTTTACCTTTTAAAAATGACACAAGTACAAACACAGGCTCTAACTTCATCACAAACTGTATATTGTGAGAAACAAAAACTTCTTTCACCTTAACAATAAACTACAGGTATATCTAAACCAAAGTAGCTTTTAAGAAATGTCATGTACCTGTAACAACCAAATGCGTTGTGCCTTTTGCTTTTCCAAACTGGTTTTCTGCTATGCAGGTGTAAGTTCCAATGTCAGCTTTGGTCACGTTGACCATTTTGAGTCCTCCATCATTTAAGAAAGATATTCTAAAGGAAATGCAAATTCAACAAACAAACATGTCACAGTGAGCTTTGTCACAAACACCAAAACTTTACCGGATAAATCGCTTTAAGACAGCATATTTAAGGCATGATAAACTAGTCATTAGCTTTCTTGGAAACAAAGAACATTAGAAGTAAGTGTACACATACACACATTTGAGTGAGAAAAGATGCTCCACAAATTAAAACTTTGCATATTTTTACACAGCATTACTTAGCAGCACTACCACTTGGCATTGCACCTCATTGTGGGATTACCTTATCCAATCAAGTGTGAAACGCTTGCAAAAAAAATACATGATATGATAGATGATTCATGAGTTGACCTCATCACTTTGGAGAACAATAAATGTCAATAGCACACAATTTCTCTTAAATGGTAAATGAAATGAGAGAAATAAAACAACTGCTTGCCTATCATCATGAATTAGGACAATTGTACTCGACCCAATCAAAACCTCCATTTTACCTCACTGAGAGGTACAGTAGTCACCTGAGAAGTGTTATAAAGGCCCAAGTTAGTAAAATGAAGATAATGCTAGAGTTTCTGAGCATATATAATATTCTTATAGCTTTCTGTTGTTAAGTAACTTCAAGTCAGTCCCAAGTCATAGCAACCCTGTATAGAGTTTCTGATGTTTTTAAAAATCTTTGTGGAAACAGGAAGCCTCATATTTTTCCCTCTATTAAAGTCTTAGCATATAAATAATTAAGGAAGAAAATGAAAAAGAAAGTAAGAGAGAAGCTGAAGGAGGCTGGCTGCAAACAGTTCATCATGAAACCCCAGGACTTGAAGTCATGTGGCAGCATTTTGTGGAGCAAGAAGAGGGTGAATCCAAGGGTTTTCAGTCCTGAGGAGATGTTCAGGAGATTCCAACATTGTGAGGAGAGGTTGGTGGGTATCCTGAAGTAGGCCACTGGGCTCGACCTCATGCTTGCCTGCTGCCACCAAAAACCAGCAGGGATATATAGTGTCATATGACACATACCTATCTTCTGAATATCACTTGGGCCCGATAACATTCAACACCAAGCCATCTGACTGGATAAAGCCTTCAGAGGGGTCGACATACACTTTTCATACGAAAATTCCCTTAGGGTGTGCCTTCTATAAGGCTGCTCCTGGGACAGAGAAAAGTGGGCTACAAGGGGGGAAATGCAATCAGGTACGGCAGCAGGGACCATGGGCCTGAAGGTCCTAAGTATTCAAGCCATTAGTGTCGTTCAGTGCTTCTGAGTCGATTCCAACTCACAGCGACCCAGCATGTGGTTTTCTAGGAGTGGCTGGTGGGTTTAAACCGCTGACTTACTTTATGGTTAGCAGTCTAGGGCTTCAAGGAGCCACTGATTCATGGTGCAGGTCTGTGAAATATGTTTAGTAACAGATTTTATGATTTTGTTCTTTCCAGAAAGAAAGCATAAATAGAAGAATTGAAGTGGGTTAAAAAAAAAAAAAAAATAGTACGACAGGAAGAAAAACTGGGTAACCTGACTCTGTAAAGACTAAATCTTTGTGGAAGAAATCTGTACAGAGCTCTGGTCTACACTGTAACACATGAGGACAGAGTAAGTCGTAACGGGCTTGGCTGCAACAGATTCGCTTTCTTGTTTGGTTTTGTAATGAGTTCATACTAGGTGCCAGGCACAGTCTGAGCAAGATAGAAGTTCCTTCCTTCATGGAAATAATGTTCTGGTGGGTGGCAAACACAATAAACAATCATATCAACACGTGATAATTTCAGATTTTTGAGAAGTAGCCTGAGGGAACAGACAGGAAAAATAATAAAGTCACTGCTTCAGCCATTGCCCCATACTCGGGTGCTTTGGAAAAGTTAGAAAGAAAAATGAAAGGGGCTAGTCAAGAAGCAACATTATGATAAACAGAGAGAAGGATGAAGTTGCTAAGGAATTCATTCTACATGGATTCACCATCAATGCCTATGGAAATAGAAGGAAAGGAATCAAAGAATTCATTGCATTCTGAAAACCTGCTAAAAGAACACCTCTCGGAAGTGTGAAAAAGCAAAGATGTCACACTGAGGACTAAAGTGTTCCTGACTTAAGCCATGGTATTTTCAATTGTCTCATGTGCATGTGATTGCTGAACACTGAATAAGAAAGACAGACGAAGAAATGATGCATTTGAATGAGGGTGTTGGCAAAGAATAGTTAATATACTATGACTGCAGAAGAAAGAGCAAATCTGTCTTGGAAGAACTATACTCAGAATGCGCCTTAGATGCGAGACTTTGTCTCAAGCACTTGGAGTTTGTTCTCAGAAGGGAAAAGTCCCTGGGGGCCATCATGCTCTGTGAGGTAGAGGAAGGTTTTCAACAAGACGGTCTGACACAGTGGTTGTAACAACGGGCTCAAACAGAGCAATAATTATAACGGTGCAAGACCAGGCGGTGTTTTGTCCTGTAACTAATTCATGTTATCTTTATGAGTCAGAACCAATTCTATAGCACCTAAAAACAACTACCTGTCAGCGAATTCCCTGTATCACCACTGCCAACCTCTGCAACTTACTCTATTTGAATTCCTAAAGTTATCATTATACATACGTGCTTTCTGCTGGTCCCTCAGAATGCCTCTCTGACTCATAGCTTTAATGCATGAGTGTTATATCTATGTTGTTGTTGTGAAGTGCCATTGAGTCGGTTCTGATCCATAGTGATACTGTATAGGGATTCCAAGGAGCAGCTGGTGAGCTTGAACCACCGACCTTGCAGTTCAAATGGCTTTGCAATCTGGAGCATTAACCCACAGCGCCACACCAGGACTCCGTGTTAGCCCAGTATTATATCTATAGTATTATATCTGGTAGCTCAGAATCATGAACGGTGTGCTAGATCCTATCCACCATGACCGTTTCACTTAAAAGCTTGTGATCTGGATTCAAGCGAACATGAGAAATAGGAGATTAAAGGATATATATATGCATAGCATGTATATTTTCGATATACAAAATAGTACTAGTAACTAGTACTAGTAACCAAATTCTTGTCACACACCTGATAATCTTGCAACAAATGTGATATTTATGGACTGAATTGAGATCCTCTACTCTTGGCCTCTATATCCTTCTATATGCCCTCTAGATCCTTCCTGCTTATTTTAATGAATGGTCCAAATGTTTGAGGTATTTCTTGACCACAGTTATATGTCAAAATTTTATCAGATATCATGATAAGCCATTTGTAGAAACTTTTAAAGAAATTTGCCGTGTATATATTCTTTTATCTCTTATTTCTCACATTCACTTGCATTCTGGTTACAAGCTGGGAAGTGAGAGGGTCATGGTGGATTTTTAATTAGTATACTGGGACCTGTTCGTGATTTTGGTTTGAGCCATCCAATAATGTCTGTTGCCCAAGTGTCTACTGCACGTATGCTTCAAAAAGCACTTAAAAGAGTTGAAAAGAGTTTCAGAATAACCCAGAAGCTAACTAAGAAACTTGCAGCATTGTATTTCAATTTGAGGGACTAATCAGAAAGTCAAAAGGTGCAAGAAGTTCCCTAGGTATCTGTAAATAGGGAGTTATACCTGATGTCCATTGGAAACCCTGAAAATTTTCATAATCAAAGATTACAGCCTTCAGCAAAGATTGCACCTCATTGTAAGAAAACAATAAAATCTTCACAACTAGACCTAATTACGATAAACTGAGAAAAGAATGAGACTGTAATAGACTTCATTTTGCTTAAATCCACAATAAACACTCATGAAGCAGCAGTCAAGAAATCAAAAGCTTTTTTATGACATTGGGCAAACGTGCTGGTCAAAATCTCTTTAAAGTTTTCAAAAGCAAAGAAGTTTGAGGACTAAGGTGCACCTCAGACAAGCCATGGTATTTTCAGTAGCCTCATATGCCCAAGAAAACTGGACAATGAATAAGGAGGATTTTACCATAATTGATACATTTGAATTACAATGTCGGAGAAGAATACTAAGAATATCATGAAAGGCGAGAAGAACAAATCTTTGTTGGAAGAAATATAGCCAGAAAGTTCCTGAGAAACCAGCATGGAGAGAATTCATGTCTTATATTTTGGATATGTTACCAGGTTGGTACTGGTCCTTGGAGAGGGACATCATGTTCAGTAGAATGGACGGTCAGCAAAAAAGAGAAACACCCCCAACAAGATGACCTGTCAAGGGGGCAGCGGCAGTGGATACATACAAAACAAGAATTATGAGAATGTTACAAGACTGGACAGTATCTGTTCTGTTGTGCAGAGGGGTAGCTATGAGTCAGAACTACAACAGCAGCAATATGGAGATGACACAAAACTGCTTGTTGGAAACAGATGATGTGAAGTGCGTATTGATATAAATCGTATATACATATGATGTATATACCATGGACTTCAAAAGGACAAGCAAATCTGTGTTGGAAGAAGTGCAGCCAAAATGCTGTACTTAGAAGCCAGGATGGTGAAACTTCATCCCTCCTACTTCAGACATTTTATCAGAAGGGACCAGTCCCTGGAGAAGGACATCATGCCTGGTAAAACAGAGTAAGTTAAAAAGAAGAATATTCCCAATGAATGGATTGAAAGTGGTAGCAACGTGTTCAAATGTAAAAATAATTAGGAGGATGATGCAAGACTCAGCAGTGTTTCAGTCTGTTGTGCATAGGTTTGTTAGGAGTTGGAATCAACTTCCAATGACAATGAACAACAATAACAACCTTTAGGGGAGGAGATCTCCAGGCGTTTCTCTTTTGGAGCCACTTGGAGGGTACCTGTTGCTAATGTTTTTGTTTTTGTTGGTAAATGCTCTCCAGTAAATTCTGACTCATGGAAACCCTACATGGGGTTTCTGAAGGGAGGTAGTAGATTTGAACTGCCAACCTTGTGGTTCACAGTCCAGTGCTGATCCTATTGAGCCAATGTTATTTACAAATAAATATCTAAAGCCTTGAACATTGCCTAGATGGAACAGTTGTTAAAAACAAAAAGAAAACAACAAAGGGTAGGTA